CCGATAAAAAGTCCAGTCCACAAGAATCAACTACATTGAAAATGGATTTGTCACCCGTATCTACCAGTTCATATAGTCAAATATTTGATCAATATTCCCAGTCAAGTCATTTTAATGTAAGGGAAAGTCAAAAGGCTTCGAATCCTACCTTTACACCTTTGCAAAAGAACAATCTCACTAGGTATTTTAGTCCTATTCAAAACAAATAGATTTGTTTGACAATGTAAAATGTTGTGCACGTTCCATTAATTTAATGTCAGTGACTATCATCGGACCTTGAAATTAGTTTTCCAAGCCAAGTCAGAGTTTCGGACACAATGTGTAATTTCAACTGTCTATTAAAGTAACTGGTTATATTGTCTATACCTGCAATCTCGCCCGCATGTTAATGCTGCTAACGTCATTGTATTATGTTGTATATATCTATCTAAGCTCACAACTATGTTTATTTCATGAATCTATTTCCTCTGTTTTTGTAAATATGTTTTTTTGTCCATACCAAAACGATACCTTTTTCAATTATTTTTGCGCTTATTTTACATTATTCAATTTACTACTGCTAATTTACTGCCAACGTCATGTGTCGGAACTAATTAGAAAATCATAAACATACGATATCGAAATAAATCCGGGCCCATATTCAGACAAACTATCAATATGCCATCTAAATATTCGAGGTTTAAGAAACAAAATTAGTTTTATTAAGGACAATCTCTCTGACTTACACATTACATGTCTAACCGAGACCCATTTGAGTAATTCTGTAACTGATCAAGATTTAGTGATAAATGAAAACTACATGATGTATAGAAACGATCCAAATGATTAAAGGGGTGGGCTGGTTGTTTACGTTCGAAATGCTATTGCATCGGAAAGACTTTACAAGTTTGAATTCAAGGCAGACATTATATGGTTAAAATAACATTTAAAATCATTTTGTCTAAATCTATGCATTGCTTATCGATCTGATGAATCTCCGATTGACTTTTGGGAACTGCTAGATGATTCGATTGAACATGTTCAAGAGGATTCAAACAAAATAATCGTATTGGGCGATCTTAACTAAAATTTCTTCGACCCAAAGGAACAAATTCACAACGTCTATAAGGCTTGTTACTTTGAAAATACTATAACGAAACCAACTAGAGTTACGAGTACATCGAGCACCTCGATGGATCCAATTTTGATCTCCGAAAATGTAAATATCATTGACGCAGATGTCATTGAAACTCCAAATCACATTTCCGATCATTTTACCACTTACGTCCACTTTGATCCGGTCGGCACCAGCAAGTTCTATTGGAAAATCACAAATCTAAAATCTTATTTCCCAATGCAGGGGTTCCCCAAGGGTCAGTTTAGGGTCCTTTATTTTTCATTATTTATATAAACGATATTCATGAAGGTCTAAAACTTCAACGAGGCTATTTGCGGATGACACGGGTCTAATAACATCATCAAAAAGTTTTTTAGAGGTTGAACAAATTGCGAATCATGACCTAAAATTAATCCAGAATTGGTCTTCAAAATGGCTTGTTACCTTTAATCCTGACAAAACATCATTAATGATCTTAAGTAACAAATCTGTACCCTTCCCAATTAACATAATATTTAATGATAAACATTTGACAAGTTCCGAAAATCATAAACATTGAGGTATTATTTTAGAATCGGACTTAAAATAGAATTTGCATATGGATCATATGATAAAGCAAGCTGCATTCAAACTAAATCATTTACGGAAAGCTAAATATTGTTTGTCACAAACATCTTTAAACAAATTATACACCTGTTTTATTTGCCCTTCCTTAGAATATGCCTGCGAGGTATGGGATTCGTGAACTGAGTCCAACTCTAATAAACTAGAACTTCTCCAATTGAAAGCCGCTCGTATTGTTTCTGGCTCAACAATTATACCCCAAGGCATGCGTTATATCAAGAAACGGGTTGGCTTCCTCTTGCAGATCGACGAAAATCTAGACGATTATGTCTACTGTATAAGATCATAAATGATTCCTCTCCATCCTTCCTTCGTGACATAATTCCTTCCAACCTTATGCACTCATAATATTTCATTACCAATTTCACGTCTGACCATTAAACAACGTTCGTTTTTTCCGAAGACAATAACTGAATACAGAAACCTTTCACCCATTCAATTAAATGCTGTTAATATTTCAAGTTTCAAAAAAGTAATCGTAGTCCGGTCTAAATTACCAAATTTCAGAGATGTGGGAGCACGGAATCTTTGTATTCTTCATACGAGATTACGATACTCTTCAAGTGGTTTAAATAATGATCTTTTCCGACGTAATATTGTTGCTTATCCTATGTGTAGCTGTACACAAGATGTTTACCACTGCTTCTTTAATTGTAGAATATATATAACCCAACGAACTGTACTATTCAACAAATTATATTTCTTAAACCACCTTCCCTATGACACACGTTTACAAATTCTTCTTTATGGAAATCCATTTTTTCCCATATCAGTGAACGAATATATATTTTTAGCAGTCCAAAACTATATTGCATCGTCCCACCGCTTTAAGAAAGACTAAATAGTGTAAATACCTCACATTTGTTGTCACCGCATTTAGGTATCATGCACATAATATTATTTGAATTTTAAAAAAAGTTTGTCCTTCAATTTTTCTTTTTTTTTCTCTTGTATGTATGTTAAATTATTTAATTATAGTTATTGGTTCTATCATTTTTTAAATTCTAATTGTATATTTGTGAATAATTCACTAGGAGAAGGTTTATAAATTTTATAATTTGTCCTTATCCTGTTGTTTCAAGCAATAAAATATCTTTAAACTAAAGAAATGTGCCCTTTAGCGTATCTGAAAGTGTTAACTTAAAAAATCCAGCCGTTAATTTTAAAACTCAAAAATATTTAAAAACATTACGCAAGGTTTTTATGTTCGTTTTGCAGTTAACTACTGTAAGGATTTGAATAAATTAAACGCCTAATTGTAGAGACAAATGTCTCCTACGCATTCGAAAGGTTTCAACTAATATAATATGAACATAGATATAAATAGCATACTCTAATGAAAACTTTTAACAAAAAATCGGAATAACCCTTTATGTCATTTTTCTTGCTCAAGTTGAGTAATTCCTTGAGATTGGTAGGCAGGTAACTTAAGAATTCCAAGATGGCTGCTGTTGTCAGACGTTTTCGAAGAAGGCATCGCTTGAATGAAAATCTTCCTAGGCCTTAAATATTGGTAGGATCCTCTAAATGAATTGAATGACGACGAACTTTTCGTCAGATATCGATTGCTGACACCAACAGAAATCAAGCACCTCTCTCTATGAAGCAAATACTGCGATTCCTGGCAACGGGGACGTTACATATTATTATAGGAGATAGCGTAGCAGTATCGAAGTCAAGAGCAGTAAGGTGCGCCGGAAGGTTATCGTCACGACACTTATCAATTATATCCATTTTCCAACTGGTCTTCGAGCTGAGCATGTTATGGAAGGAATTGGATTTAGAAAGATAATCAGTAAGTCCTAACGATAGACAATAAATTAAATAATTCTCAGTAGCTGATTTAATATTCGACGCACCTGACGGAAGTGGTCTAATCAGGTCACTAAAGGGTAACTACCACGAACTTACTTCCGTTACATCTATTTTCTTGTTAGCTCAATGCCCATTGGTGTGTATAATAGAATTAGTACTAAATACTTATGATTTGTGTTCAAATTTTTTTGCAGAAAAATGGCCCCAAGGTGTTACCTTAGACGAAATGTTAATAAATTACGATAAATATTACTTTTCTATTCACCAGATACCTAGGCCTATATTTTGGATGATGTTTAAATCGACAGATTCGCCACCCGTTTGACTAATCCAACCTAAATCTCAGAAACGGGAATTTTTTTTAGCTAAGCTAATGAGTAATAGTGTTCACAGCTAACCACCTCCATGTGTGTCCAGAACTATTCGCGTTTCAAAGACCATTCATTTTTCTAAGACTATGTCATATAGAATATTTAGGAAAAGAAAGTGAAATTCCAATTATGAGGTGTTTTTGAAGGAATGGTGCGATTTTCGTACATTTCTAGTATTAATGAAGACTACTAACATATATTCAAGACCCAAGTCAACCCCTGAAAATGGTGACTATCCCTTTAAAATTCCAGTTATAACAATAATAATGTTTTGTATAAGCACAGGAAAATCGTGGTGGATCGCGTGTTGAGTGACATGCTTATGGTACCAAATGTGGCTTATTCCGGGGACAATGGGACATCGATACCTTTATTTGCCAACTTCCATTTTCATTGACTAGTTTTCTATTCGTTACTCTTTCTTTACATTTACCTTCTCACTAAATAATGTTGACACGACTATTTCAAGGCAACGTTTGAATGCAAGACAGAAAAAAAAACAGTCGCTAGACACTTTCCTGCCATGTTTTTGAAAATGACTTTCCTGAAGGTAACTGCGTTGATCTTGTGATCTAACGACCATTATTGAAAAGGAAAATCTAAAGTGGAGTAATTAAGAATTGTCAAGAGTAACCCAATCTGCTGGTAATTGACAATTTTAAATTGCATTAAATATCTTTCTTGGCAATATTTTTGGCCTAAAAGCTAAACGATATTTTTTATGTTGATGAATTTTATGAAATAAATAGAAAGTACTCACAAAACATTTTCATTTAATAATCCTTGTGTTACCCTTTGAATATAAACAGAATCAAAGGATTAAGGATTGTGAGCATCAAGATTACTGGCATAAAACTACCTTGATTCTGAAGGTCGAAAGGTTACACAGTTTATTAATAATTTCCCATCGGCGGAATGGGCTAATTCACTCATTGAACGACAGTCTGGTGAAATCACATTTAGGTTTTGCCATAAGAATAGTAAAATGTAATTTTGATGAACTGAAGAAGTCGTTAACAGATCAGGGGATTTTATACCCTTTATCACATATATAACTATGAAACAAATCGTTCTGATTACCCTGGTGTGAAGAAATGTGTGTTGCTGAGAGAATTAAGGACAACAGTAAAACTGCAATACCTATTATGTTTAGTGGATCGGCTGCAGGTAAAATGCTTCCTAGTTATGTAGTCTACTAGGCAGAATACATCTGGACAACATGGATAGAAGGTGGCCCCAAAGGCCATAATAGGTAATAATAGGAGTATAAGTGGTTGATTTGATGCCTGCTGCTTTGCAGACTGGTTCGAAAGCATTTTGATACCTGGCATTAAAAATTTGCTTGGTCCTAACGTTGTTATTGTAGACAACTTAAGTAGCCACTTCACACCTAGGGTTATTAAACTAGTTCATGAGAATGATATAAGATTTGTCTTCTTGCCAACTCAACTCACTTACTCCAACCACTACATGTGGCATTTTATGGACCTTTAAAAAGGTATTGGAGAAAAGTTATTGACAACTGGAAAAGTAGCAGCAAGAATACTTCACGAACATTAAATAAAGACAGCTTTCCTATGCTCCCGACTAAACTATATGACTTGTTTTATCCAATTGAAGACTTACAAAGTGAAAATATAATATCTGGTTTCAGAAAATGTGGAATTATGCCCTTCAGTCCTGACATTGTCCTTCAAAGGTTACTAGATAGTAAAGAAGCGGTGGACACGAAACAAATTAATGAATGGGTATCTATTATAGTTGTGGGATTGTTGAAAAGGACGAGAGGAGTTGATGATGAGAGTCAGGGGTCAAGAGTTAAGAAGAGAAAGAGGCTGAATGTAACCCCTGGAAAGAGTTATGAAGAGATAGGACCAGGTGTGATATTAGAGAATGTCAAATGAAGAAGTGGAGATCAGCAGTGATTCAGACACAACACTTTTGATAAGAGCACTGGAAAGGAAGATCTTATCTCTCAAATTCAAGTAGGCAGTTATATAATGGTGAAATATGAAGAATCAAAATTTGCAGGTGAGGCTAACTCCCTTGAAACTGACGGGACGGTTGTTAATGTTCTAGTCAAGTGTAAAAGTCAAGGATAGAGATGGCCTTCAACAAGATGAAATATTGTATCATTAGAATGACATTCTGAAATTAATCCCGAAAGAAAACGTAAAACCAATCAATAATCGAGGTTTTTAAAGTATTTTAGATATGAATGATATTTGGGGACAATAATAGGCCTATAAGCTTAGTAGTTTTTGAATTACACGGAAAGTCGGCTTTCTCGAATCTAAGTGTTTGGTATGGAGCGTGAAATGCAATAACATGTTTCTGTTAGCCTCTTACTTTTTCTGAAAGTTTCAACTTAAAATATTATGTCTCAAACTTCTAAACCATGAAAAAAGCATTTACGTAAACAATATGAACCCGCTGCCATGTTACTGTACCGGAACCTGATAATTGCGACTATGATAGCAACTTCTACTTATTTGACTAAAGTCATTTAGCAATTGTGAGTACGATATATAGCCACAGCTTTATGGAACAAAAATCACTGGTTAAAGTTTTATGCAACGTTTCGACGTGAAAGTGTTAGGAAAACTACATATACATTAATGCTTATTATAAAGAACACACAACCATTTATGTCAGCGATAAAAAGACATAGCGGTACCAGGCATCCGGTTGAATATCCACCTTTCCTTTAAGTTTGGTATTGTTACTTCCGAGTTATTTAACAACATTATTTTTAATTGAATGTTTGAGATTTAATGTCTTTATTTTGAATTCATAGTTTTATGTCCAAAAACGGACATCTAATATCATTAATAATTTAATTTGAGCGTAAAATTCAGCTGTGTTTTGTCGAGTTTTATCATACTTGTTGGAATAGTGCATTTGTTTTGTATTTCATTGCTGATTTTAATTTTTTTTAAATGTATGATAACTCCTTACTTTTTAAAAAAAAACATTGGAACAGTTCAATTTAACCCTATAAGCATGGTAATATTCATTGAAATCAAAAATATTTTGTGTTCAAAAATGGACCAAATCAGAACTATTTTGAACACCCTTTTAATTTAAAAAAAAAAACAAAAATATGCAACAGATGTAAAAATTTAAAAATGTGGTCTACCCATTCTTCCCCTAATTTAAGGATTTTTAGATAAAAGGTATTGAAATCAAAATATATTTTGTGTTCAAAGAAGGACCAAATCAGAACAACTTTGAACATCCTTTTAATTTAAAAAAAAAGTATCACAATACTATGCAACAGACGTAAAAGTTTAAAAATTAAATTAGATGGATAAAAGGTAACTATTAACTTAAAATAAATCATTAAGTTGCTAAAAAATATTCAAAGTAACACCGATTTACGGTATTCTACATTTTGACTTTACCATTAATTGCTTTAGCAATATGAACATTTTTTTTTACTATGAACTTCACTCCAAGGACCAATAGACTTTGTACTTTCAGATAAGTCTTCATACGAAACATACATTGTACCTACATTAGGTAAAGCCTGGCGGGCAACATTTGTGACCAATGATCTATAGTCTGTCTGTTCAAAAATTGCTGATGTAATTAAGTTAACTTTGGCGTGTCTTGATATTCTCAGCTATAGGCCATGGCAAAGTCTACTAATGAAGAACTTTACTAGCTTCATCGGATCGAAGTTTGTTACAGAATCAATGTACAGATATATTTTCAATACAGAGTTTAACTTAGGATTCCATGTTCCAAGCAAAGATCTCTGTGACACATGCACAAAATTTGACATGAAAAAAGAATCAGGAACTTTTCATCCTTCAGATGAAGCAGAGTTGATTAACCACCTTCGAAGAAAAGAACAAGCAAGAACAGCAAAATCAGTAGATAAATTTGTTGGTGATACTATTACAGCAGTGTTTGACTTGCAACAGGTTATGGTAGCTCCAAAACTGTTTGTTGGGTCAGGCTATTATCTTAGAAAATTGAATGTTTACAATTTCACAGTACTTGAACTACAAACTTTACAAGGCTTTTGCTATACTTGGCATGAATGTGAAGGCAAACGTGGGACTAATGAAATTGCATCTTGTTTACTGAAATGGTTAAAAGCTAAGGATAATGAAGGTTATCATTCTGCAATTCTATACAGTGATTCCTGTGGTGGCCAAAATAGGAATAGAATTATGTGCAGTGCAATACTGCAGTTTTTAAGTCAGGCACAGAATATAGAATTTGTTGAACAAAAATATTTTGAATCTGGCCATAGCCAAAATGAGTGTGACAGTATGCACTCTTGCATTGAACGGGAATATAAATCATCCAATGTTTTTCTACCTTCTGCCTATCACGAGAGCATGCGGAAGGCAAATAAAAAAACAGCCTTATATAGTAATCGAAAATACTCATAATGACATTATTGATTACGAAAGGTTCAATTCGATGATATGTAAACAGAATGCCTTTTCTGGAATCATGACTGTTCACCATATTATTTACAGTAAATCTGACAATGAACAAACTCTATCATTTGCACATGAAATAGGGGGCGAGATGGTCAAGAAATCTTATCGTAAACAAGGGCATCCTTGTGATCTTGCTACAGTCAAATTAACAAAAGCTTATCAGTCAACTCAAGTCATTGACAAACAAAAGAAAGCCGATTTACTTAAATTATGTGACTTTATACCTCGCGATTGTCGTCATTTTTACAATGGCCTTTTAACAGATTGTTGATCATCCTCAAGTTAAAATTTGGATTTTTTTTCCTTATGCCGAGATTTTAATTTGTAATGTATAATACTTAAAAACTCAAAAGTCAACCTAATTGATTTATAAATAATTCATTTTCTTGTTTATGTTTACTCGTTTACGGCACTTTTTTTGTAATTGATGACCTAAAACAATTATCAATGGATTTCTTGATGTTACAGAAAGTTTGAAATAAATTGTTATCACTCTTTACACTAAATTTATCTATTAATAAATTGATTCATTTCAACAAAAATGGCTAATATTCTCCCTTACTGTGTGTAAACTGTCACTTACAATGTTTTTGCACTAAAATGGTGTGTGAAATCTGTTAGAGCAAAAACATCGTATCTGACTTTTGGCTGGTTGCCAATATGTATCCAATCTCAAATTTTCCTCAAAAACACATTTAATACGAACCTATTTTTATTATCAACTTTCAAGAGCGTGGATGAAATACGCGAATTGTTATGTACAAATCAACATTAAAATCGTTTTATCTCAATTCACATGTGTTTTGTTTTTGCTCTAACCCAGCGACTTGAAGAGCTTTACTAGCTTCATCGGATCGAAATTTTGACATGATTCTTTTCACCCGAACATGTTTTTGGAAGTTATTAATGTCTTTTAAAATAATGTCTCTCGATTCATTAGCTGGAGCTTTTGTTGGTGTTTTAATTAGTATTAGTACATGTTTTATTTGCAGTAATTAATTTTGTAGATTCAAAATAGACCAAATAGAGACTCAATCAGAGAATAAATGGCTAACTAAACTTCTAGTCTACAGGATGGGTTCGTGTTAACTAAGATAGTATAGCCTAATATTATACATGTAGCTCCAAATACTCTGTATGCAGACTGTGTAAATCCGGACATAATCAACATGATACAAGGATTTTCACATGATTTAATTAATTGATAAAATTTGTCTCTACTATCAGACTCCTTGTAATAATATGGAGGAATATAGTCTTCTCCTCATTTAATGACCTACATACAATGATTAAATGATATAAATCCTGGGGAATATCTTCATAACAAAGCTTGCAGTAAGAACCTTTTAGCAATTTCCTTGTTATATTGCTGTCACCAATGTCCGCCGTCGGTCCGTCCACATTTACTCGTAAACACTCTACACGACACAATTCTTGACGGATTTTGACAAAACCTGGTGTGAACGTTCGTAATCAATCAAGAATAAACCCTATTGAAAATCGAAAATTATTTAGTATGAGTTATTGCCCTTGTTCTTTAAAACGCGTTCAATTTTTAAGTCGTAAGCACTCTAGAAGGCACAATTCGCGACGGATTTTTACAAAACTTGGTGTGAGAGTTTATCACTCAAGGATAAACCCTATCGAAAATAAAAAAAAATAATAGTTAGTATGAGTTATTGTTTTTGTTCTTGAAAACACATTCAATTTTTAGCTTGTACACACTCTGGAAACAACAATTCTGGAAAGATTTTGATGCAACTTAGTGTGAGTGTTTGTAATCGCCTAAGGATAAAATCATATTGTAAATGAGAAGAATTGAAAAATATTTAGTATGAGTTATTGTCCTTGTTATTGGAAACTAGTTCAATTTCTAGCTTATATCTAGAAGGCAAAATTCTTGACAAATTTTGAAGAAACTTGATGAAATTGTTTACTATTGCCCATTGATGAACCGTATCGAAAATAAAAAAAAACATATGTTTTTGTAGGTGTTATTGACCTTGTTTTTAATATTTCTCATAATATGCTTACAAATATTTACTGGCAGGTTAACTTACTGGCTTCACCCAGGCTTAAAAATGTCTATACTCAGTAAGGCTTTCACTATTATTAATTTTAGCAGACAAATCCTGAATATTTAAATCAATCAACCTTTGTCTTAAATTGAATCATACATTCAGTGTAACAAATGTAACCCATGGCTACTGAGCACAACAAAATTCTCAATCTTGCGTGTGAACTTGATGTGGGTATCAGGCAGTTGACAGCTAACTCGATCCATTTGTCACACGATGAAATATAGCTAATTGATAATCAAGACGGCCACGGCCTAAAGAACCGACTAAGGAGCAGAATTCCTAATACAAATTTACAAAACGTAATGTCTACTCGTTTAATATACTTTAATATTTATAACCCCAGATGTTGTTGTTTAAACAATTCGCACTAAGGGATTCTTTCCAGATCACATCACCCAGATCAAGTGCATTACCATCTATACAATCGTCGCAGACTCCTCTCTAGCAATCTGAGTTGAGGTCTTCATTGCTGCATATTATCCTAGACCAGACATTGTTTCAACCACTATCAAAACTTCAACTATCAGTCTAAAACTTTCATGCAACACATTCTTTAGTCTCAGAATAGAGAATTTACTAAATCCTATAGACGGGTTTTCTAGTTAGAAAAGAGCAAGCAGTTATTTCAACAAATTGGCTAATACTTTCTTACTTTACTTCTAAGATCATCGTTGTTTTTTTTTTTTAATCACCATTTTATCCTAGGCCAAGTGTATACCATATTTGGAATAATAGAATTCTGATATTTTGTTTATTGCATCACCATCAATGGAACTATTAGTGCTCTTAAAGCTAAAATTAATCTTTTCTGATAGCTCAATCCCTAAATTTTGGCTAAACCATTATTCTTTCGAAGGAGAATTGGATAGAGCTTTCAGTCTCCTTACAACTTTTCCTTTACTTTTTTAAAGCCGACATCTGGCAATTTTACCCCTTTCTCACTACACAACTGAATTATTGAATTCGGTTATAACCGAATAGAAAAATCCGATTCAGTTCGATTCGATTCGGTTCGGGTTGCTTTCGCACTGCAATCCTATCTGGATAGCCGCTTCCGCACTGCCGAGTCAAGTTATCTGGATAAACTTTTTATTTTTAGTAACACATCATGTCACGTGACAAAACATTATCACGTGATTGTCACCCCGCTAAAAACAAATATGGACGCTGGCAATTATAATTCGAGCAACGATAAAATTCGCTGCATGCTCGCTGTGTGGGGCGATACTAAAATTCAAGATGAATTAATCCTTTTCTTGTGATCGTCAAATATCATTATAACGTCCCCGCCAACAGGAGCCATTTTGAAGTGTTTATACACGTGACACCACGTGATAAACTTATCGGGATAATTTCTTGTTTGGTTTCGCACTGCCACTTATCTGGATCGTATCCAGACGAAATCCACCTCTTGAGGTAGATTTTTCTATCTGGATAACTTCTGGTTATGACCGAATAAGTTTTTTTGCCAGTGCGAAAGCAACCGGAAGTTATTCGAATAGAACTGGATAGAACCGAATTACTTTTGCAGTGCGAAAGGGGTATTAGAGAGGGATTTCTCTCTTATTCATTCTCCGTCTGGCTATCTTTCTTAGTTTTTCTACGATGTTCATTGAGCTCTTCCGGTGACTTTCCTATCTCTGCTTCTCTGACTTTCATTCGTTTTAAAATCAGGATCCTCGTCAAGTTTCCTCTGACAAAGAACCTATATTCTTTCACCTGACGATGTTTTAGGTCATTTTGTGGGTGGAATCGGATCAACTGTTGGTATTTCTTTGTTTAAACTATTTCAATTCACATCTTGAACAGAAGTGCTAGATGTAGCCTAGATAGAACCTTTGGTATTTATTATGGTATAGCCAGGAGCAACTAAGTAGTCCTAGATCAGTCCAACAAATGTAAATCACATGGCAAGGTCAGCCATGTCAAAGGACTGGTTCAAAGAGTCCTGGCTGGATCAATGTTGTACCGTTTTCAAAATGTCATGACTGTGTCAGGAGTTTGATTGAAATACACTTGCTACATTAATATAAGATATCACTGTCACGAGAGAGTAGGATAATTAAGCCTTCAAAGTGGCCACTAACAGTTTTGTACGTAATGATTACAACAAATTCATTAACATTCACACACTTGATGCACTATTAACCTTTTGTGAAAGATCTTGGAATTGGTACTTACCAAAGGATATTACTTGCGTGACAGTTCTAATCTTATTCTTAAATGAATGATATTTTTTCTGAAGGTTAATAGATCCTTACCTTTTGGCGATGCCATATACCTTTTTCATGATTTAAATAATTCACAGAAGAAACAAAGATAAGAAAATAAGAAAAATCCTGCTCTTCTCCGAGTAACTTACGTGACAGTATATATAAATGCTTGCACACAAATTAGTTATAGATTTGAATGGTATGACATTTACTATTTTAAACATCTAATATTTGGCAGGATTTTTAAGGGTGGTTTTTGAATCAATTACATTTTTATTAGATGAACACTTAATTGACTCTGAATTGTAACTTACGTGACATCGAACTGTCAAGAGTCCAAATAATAACATGGGAAAATTAGTGAACTGCCATTTGTGAATCAGTGCATTTTTTAGTTAAACTACAAAACAGTAATACTTATTCTTTTCACCTAAACTAATACATTACTTTTTTTTTAATACGGTTACATCATGAACTTTCATCTACAGTCATTCCAAAGCAACATCTGAAGAAATAAAGATTAATTTTTTGAAACAATTTTTATACTATAACTATATTAATGTTGGTTATCACATGAAACTTATTTTTCCTACTGCAGGTTGAAGGGCAATTGGGCTAAACAACATGTTGTTTATCTTGGTATTCAAAGACT